AGTGAGTTTTACTTCCAGACTGTGGTGAGATTTTTTTTTCTTGTTTGTTGGAGAAGGTTTGTAGAATCTAAAGATTATATTGAATGGAGAAGTCTAGTGGCAGTCCTTAGTTGATGGGCCCCAGAGTTACTCTTATGATTCACAAGTCACAAGTCAAGTACATCTGACCATACCTCCTATATCAACTGACCAGGGAGTAGCAAGGTCCAAGTACTGAATGCACTTACCATAACAAACAACACAGTAATGGCCTGACTCACACAAACTTTATCACTGGCTAATTAATCTTGGTATTCCCAGAAACAAAATAGGGTGTCTACTACGGGTTCACTTGACCTCTACAAGCAAAGGGACTCCAGACAATGGAAAGAAAGGTTGCTTTGAATTACTAAAATAGAGAATCAAGGTCCCCTCAACTAATTTCCTATCTTGAGTCATTGTAAAGACATAGAACACCCCAAATGAATGGGAGGCCAGCCAGGTCCCTTGAGGCAGAACCTCCTACAGTATCTAAAAGTTTCCCTGTGACTGTTTTTCTTTCCCCCAGGGACGTAGAGACTTTTACAACAGTAACTTCACATTAGAGAAAAGGAAGTGATCAGACCTTCTCTGGCCCATGAGACACTGCCTTTGAATTGATGTTGATTTCAGAAGATCCCAGGCAGCATTGTGCCCAAAGTCAAAGAGGCTTATGAAGGTCAGGTATTGATAGACTTTCAGCCAAAGACTGACTCAAGTGGGTCCAATGGGTTCCTAAACTCATCCCATGGTTATTTTCCTGTCCCAGAATGCATAATTGGGGCAGTTATATTTAAACTTTGGCGGAATCCCCACATTGATAACTCTATGGTTGGAAAGGCCAATTGCAAATGAATAGAGCTTCCACCATCAGGGAAAGCAGTGAAACAAAACCAACATACAATGCCTATGGGATGACAGAAATTTGTGCCATAATTAAAGACTTGAAATATGAGAGGGTGATGGTTCCCACCACATCTCTTATTTCTCCTGTGCAAAATACAGATGGACCATGGAGAATGACAGTTGATTCTCACAAACTTGATTAAGCAGCGACTCCAATTGCAGCTGCTGTACCAGATGTGACTTCCTTCCTTCAGTAGACTAACACATCTCCTCGCACATGGTATGCAAATATTGGTCTAGCAAGTGTTTGTTTGTTTGTTTTTTCCCTTGATACCTTCCCACAAGAACCACCAGAAGCGATTCTCTCAGCTAGCAAGGCCAGCACTATACTTTTACTTTTTTACTTCAAGATTTCATTAATTCTCTAGCTCAGTGTCATAACTTAGTTTGCAATAATCTCGGTCACCTGTATTTTCCACAAGTCATCACACTGGTCTGTTATATCGAGGACATTAGGTCTATTGGACCAAGAGAACAGGAAGTAGTAACCACTTTGGACTTGTTGGTAAAGCATATGTGCATCAGATGATGGGAAAGAAATTGAACTAAAATTCAAGGATTTTCTATCTTGAAGAAATTTCTAGGAGTCCAGTAGTATGGGGCAGGTAGTGATATTTCTTGTAAAGTGAATGATAAGTTGCTAAACCTGGCTCCTCCCACCACCTGAAGCACGCTGCCTAGTGGGCTTGTTTGGATTTGGAAGTAGCCTGTTCCTCAGTTGGATGTGTTATTCCAGCATATATATCAAGTGTCTCAAAAGGCTGCTGGTTTAGAATTGGGCCTGGAATAAGAGAAGGTTTTTCTACTGGTCCAGGCTGCTGTTCAGGTTACTAGGCCAATCGTGTCATATGATCTGACAGACCTGATGGTACTTGAAGTGTCAGTGGCAGATAGGGATGCTGTTTGAAGTCTTTGGCAAGCCCCTATAGGCGAATCCCAGTGGAGGTCTTCGGAATTTTGGAGGAAGACTCTACTGTCATCTGAAAACAGTTATTCTCTCTTTGAGAAGCTACTCTTGACCTGCTAGTATGCCTTACTTAGTGGAAACAAAGCATTTGATAATGAGCCACAAAATTATCATTTGACATGAATTATCAGTCATGAACTGGGCAGCGATACCTGACCCACCAAACCATAACATTGGTCATTCACAGAAACTATGTATATATATAGTTATCGGATCTAATCATGTCCTCTGGCACAAATGAGTTACATGAAGAAGTTAACCAAAGCCTATGTACTACTATTATGTAGTAGTTTGAATGTAATTGGCCCCCATAAGCTCATAGGGAGTGACATTATTAGGAGGTATGGCCTTGTTGAAATAGATGTGGTCTTGTTGGAGGAAGTGTGTCATTGTGGAGGTGGGCTTTGAGGTCTTAGATATGCTCAAGCCATGCCCAGTGTCTCAGTTCACTTCCTGTTGCCTGCAAAATGTAGGACTTTCAACTACTTCTCCAGCACCATATCTGTCTGCATGCCACCATGTCTCACCATGATGATAATGTACTAAACCTCTGAAAATGTAAGCTACCCCAATTAAATGTTTTTCCTTTGTAAGAGGTGCCATGGTCATGGTGTCTCTTCACAGTACTAGAAACTCTAACTAAGACATATTACAATGCTTTCTGTCCCCAAGCATGTACGTTAGGCTTTGCTGGATGTGCTCTATGACTAAATGAAAAAGAAAATATTAAGGCCTGGTTTACAGATGGTTCTGAATGCTATGCAGTTCCACCCAGACAACCTTTCTGGGACAACCAAGAAGGACACTGTTGAAGGGAAATCTTCACAGTGGGCAGGACTTTGGGGAGTGCACATGGTCATGATCATTTATTTTACTTGACATAAAAATGACCAGATGTGATATTATATACTGATACATGAAGTATAGCTAATGGTTTACCTGGATAGTCAGGGACTTGGAAGTATGATTGGAAAACTGGTGTGAAAGACATTTAGTGGAGGAGTATATGGGCAGACCACTCCAATTGTGAAGATTACTGTGTCTCATACAGTTGCTCACCAAAACCTAACATCAGCAGAAGATTTTAATAACCAAGTGTATAGGTTGACTGTTCTGTGAGTACTAATAGATTTCTTATTCCTGGCACCCTCATCATTGGCTCAATGGGCACATGAACATAGTAGTCTTTGTGGCACAAATGGAAGGTATACATGGGTTCAACAACATGGACTTCTATTCACCAAGGCTGACCTGGTACAGCTGCTGCTCAGTGTTAAATCTGGCAACCACCGAGACTAACACTGTCCCTGATATTGCACCATTCTACACCATGAGCAGCCAGAAACCAGGTGGACTACATCGATCTACGTCTGTAGTAAAAATGGCAGTGATTTATTCATACTGGGAGAGATACTTATTCTGGTTTTGGATTTGCCTTTCCTGCAACTAATACTTCAGATAAAACTACCACTTTTGGACTTACACAATACTTCAATAGTATTTCACATAGTGTTTCTGACCAAATAACTCACTTCATGAACAAAGAAGTATGACAATTGTTATATTAATTATACCTCGAGTGCTGTGATAAAATATCATGGCCAAAAGTAAGTTAAGAAAGAAAGTTTATCTTGATTTATGGTTTCAGAGGGCAACATCCATAATGGTAGGAATGGTATGGCAATAGACAGGCACAGCAGCAGGAGCAGGAAGCTAAGAGCTCACATCTTAATCACACACAGGAAGCAGAGAGAAAACAGGAAGTTGGGTGTGTCTGTAAACCCCCAAATATCACCCCTTGTGATGTACTTCCTTCAGTAGGGCTGTGCCCCCTAAACAGTCTATGATACCCCCAAAACAACATCACCAACTGTTGTCCATTGCTCAAATACACAGGCCTATGAGGAACATTTCTTATCCGAACCATCATGTTCTCCACCGTCTTGAAGCAGCTGGCTGGAATAAATGGTAGAATGGCTTTTTAAAGACACAGTTACAGTGCAGGAAACTGGTTTGGACTAGGAAATATTATATCGAGGTAACTGAACCTCTGTTCTCTCTCCTAGGTGGATCCTAGCATCTAACCCTTATATATATGCATTTACTTGGGAGTAGCTGTGTAGATCCCAGGAAACTAGAAATGATTCCGGGCAAAGGGGGAAAAGGCATCTTTAGTGGAAGCAGAATGTGTGTAACATGAAAATGGAAAGGGGAATGCTGGGAGTTGAGAGGTATAAGGAGGCGTGGCAGGGACATAGGAGAAAGGAGTCAGCCAAACATAAGGATACTTGAAAACACTACAAGAAAACATGATGCTTGATAAGCCAACAAAGATAAAGTTAATGGTTTGAATGGAGGTAATGTGCAGGCAGAAAACACTGAGCCCAGAAGTCATGGGATATTTAACAAAAACCTGTGTCAGGGATAAGATAACCCCCCTATGGGTTGTTTCTCAGCAAGTCCCATGGGAGGGGGGCAAAGCATGCCATGGCTATTGTTTGCTCACCAGTACTAGGTAGTAAGACCAGATTGCTGAAGATGCCCCATTCCTTGACCACAAGACACAGAAAATCAAGCTAGAACGTGGCTAGAAATTTCTTCTAGAATTGTTATCAATAATCTTACTTAGCTATGGACACCATGTGCAACGGTATTGACTGGCCACTCGTACAATAACGGTAGGGCAAAGCCAACAGCTATCTGACTGGATTTGATGTCAACCAACAGGAAGGAATTCACAGTCAAAAGCCTATGGTTAGGGAAGTTGTATTTCCCAATAGGGAAGTACTGCTGCTAAATGGACATGGTGTTCCCATCAACCGCGGTTCTAAGCACAAGCAGCTCCGAAGAACTGTTTATGTCCATAAGATGGTAGTCGTCAGTTTTATCAGTGGATTTTCTTTCTTAGTGGTCAGTGGTGACAGCTGGTCAAAGTACTTCCAATGTTGACCACTGGCTATTGTCCAGCAATCTGAGAGCTGGAAGGAGACAGATGATTTGGACTGGTGACTTCTGGTTGTGACTCAGCAGTCATATCAAACACTCTGGGGTTCATGTTGGCAGCTAGGATTATGTATATAAGATATGCATGGCATTAAGCCTGAGCTGTCCACGCTCTGCTCAGGGAAGGCTAGAGACTCGGGGAGTCCCACCCTTTCCCGAGCCTTTATTTACGGCATTAGTGGTTGATAGAGAAAGGAGACACGTTTTCTTCAGGTACAGCCACTGGTAAGGTGCCCATAATCCTGTAAAGAAATCCTAATGAGATGCCCTGGGTCACAAAATGAAAAAAATTGAGACGTGGAAGTGGAAGGGGGCCTAGTTTGGAAGAGAAAGAGTATTAGTGCAAGTGGAGGGAGGAGAGGATAAAGGGCTGAAGGTGATCAAAATACATTATGTACATGCATGAAAATGCCATAATGAATTCCATCATTATATGTAATATAGGCTAATAAGAACTTAACCCCAATCCCCCCCGGAAAAGATGCAGTTGTTTAGCCAGCTAGGTGGTAGCAGCCTGGAATGCCAAGGTTCTCCATCAGGTTAAACACGCTCAATTCAGTGCCCAACATATAGTTTCTCCCATTACTCAGTATTCACAGGTCCAGGATGGAGATGTGGAAATGGAAATGGTACCTCATCCCCAGTGAGCCAGCAGCTAAACCTCTGCTTTTTTTTTTTTTTTTTCTTTCCCCACAAGCTCATGCTCTGCTGGTCTAGAAGTCTTGGTTCCAGAAGTGGGAGTGTTTCTGCCAGGAGACACAGGAGACATCCCACTGAGCTGGAAGCTAGGACATCTCCCTAGCCACTTTGGGTTCCTGATATCCTTGAGTCAATAGTCTGAAAAGAAAAACAGAGTTAAGAGGGGTGAGCGACCCAGACCAAAGGGAACTTGGATTGTTTCTCCACAATGGAAGTAAGGAAGAACATATCAAATACAAGAGCTATGCCTTGTGATTGAAGTTAATGGGAAGCTGCAGCAACCCAATCCAGCAGGAAGATACACGGCCCAGACCCTTCAAGAGTGGGTCCCTCCTCCAGGCAAAGAACCAAGACTGGCTGAGGTGCTTACCAAAGGTGGAGGGGCTATGGAATGGGTTGTGGAAGACACTTATTAACTCCAGGTAAGGCCACAAGACCTGCTATAGAAATGAGAGTTGTTATTGCCGAGAGTGGGTCTGTCCCGATTTTGTTAGGAATGTGTTTGAATATATAGACAATACATTAAGCAAATACTTGTGGTTTTTTTTTTCCTTTTTTTTGTTCCTTTACCCTGTAATGTAACGACTGAGATAATACCAGTAATTAAATGTTCTTCAACTAATATTGTCCTAGTCAAGCTATAGGCTACTGAAAGACTATGCCTTCCTCAAGGGACCTTGCCATTTATCCTGCGGGAAGAAGGGCGCATTTTCAGTGGTTCATGAGATAACTATATAATGTTAGGAGAGTTATGATCTTGTCATTGTCCTCATCTGAAAATGAAGAATGGCAAAGAAACACACTCCCAAGAGAGCCCCTCCCCTGGAGTGGGCGGCACTTAGGGTGGTAACCACCTAAACAGAAGGAAGTCAGAGGGGATAAGTACTGTTTGCTGGCCTGCCTCCACTTCCTGCGGGTGAGAGCGTTCATCTCTAAGACGGCTGTCTTTCTCCACTGACAGCTGGCTCCAGCGTCTCCAGGAGTTCATGTGGACCGAAGGCCAGTAGCTCTCCAGGAGTCTTCCAGGCACCAGATTTGGAACTACTGAGGGATCTGGCTTTGTAACTTGAGCAGCTCCCGGGTTCCAGCCACTGTCGGATTGGACTGTGCAGACCCATCCAGCACATTGTAAGTCCTTCTAAGAAAACCCTCTTTTCTATACTCACGTTCTATCGGTTCTATTCCTTAGAGAACCCTACCGAATGCAGTCTGTTTATCTCTCTTCTTTTCCCAGAAATCCTTGTCACCTGGGGCTTCCCCAGCCGTCATATTCCCTCTCTTTCCTTCCAGCATAGCTCAGTGGGGCCTGCTCCGGGAAAAAAGATAAAGAACATTACTAAATGACCCTTGATTTGAGGAACTAAATGGGTTATAGTTCAACCCAGGTCCTGAGGCCCTGGGAGGCCCGCCAGTTCTTTCCAGTTCTTTCCTGCCCTTTATTTCTCCCCTGTCATATTGCCTCCTCTTCTATAACCATTTACAACAAGAAGTCAAATTTTACCTTTCATTATTTATTATATTTATCCGCTCCCTATCTTTCCAGTTCTTACCCTTAATAGAAGCTGACTTTTTAGAGAAGTTTAGTCTTGTGTTTTCTGAGATGATCTGGCCTTAAAAATTCTCCCTCGTCCCACAAGACAGAACGAGCAATCTGCCAGCCTTAGCCTTGAGTTTGTTTTTCAGCTGAGGATAACAGGAGATGGAGAAAGCAGAGAGAAGGGCCTCAGTGGAGAACAGCATCGAGAACCCAGGGCTGGAACTCATGGTAATTCGGTGTTTTGGACTTTGGCATGGCTTTAGCCGCTCTCTGTCTATTGACCCTCTGGCAGGCCTGCATGGTTGATGTCACGTTTATCTGTGTTTGTAGGAAAGAGGAGATCCTGGAGGAAGCAAGAAGTTAGAAGCGACACAGAGACACAGCCTGAAGGATGGCCTGGGGTAAGGATGGTCCAGAGTCCAGCTTAATTAGCACCCAAGAGCCTGGGGCGTGGGGAAGAGAAGTGAGTGAAACGGATCAAAGCTGCTCATTTTCAGACTGCTTAACTCACAGACAAACCAGGATCACTGCATGTTCCCAACATGTACACGTTTGTGTTTTGTAGAATGAACTGAAGCGTTAGTCCATGACAATAACAAGCCCATTAGTATCAGCCTAGATAACATGAAAAAAATAGCAACAACAGCAATAATAACAGTAACAATGGCTAACAGGTTTTTTTTTATGGCTAACATTTATTGAGTACTATTATGTGTAATTTTGTGTAATTAATTTTCATAACAGGAAAGTACTAATTTTGATACTTTTGTCTAAATTAGAGCATTGAGACTTAGGAATGAACCTACTCATATCAATTAAAACAAAACAAAACAAATCTCTTTGAGGCCAGGCCTTGGGGTGCACGCCTTTAATCCCAGCCCTTGGGAGGCAGAGGTAGACTGATCTCTATGAGTTTGAGGCCAGCCTGGTCTACATAGCAAGTTCTAGACCAGCTAAGGCTACATAGTGGGACGCTGTATAAAACAAAACAAACAAACAAACAAACAAAAACCCCCAAACAGCCCACCTCTATCAGGATTAAAGAACTTTTCTGGAATACTCACATCCAGGAGTAGGAAAAAGAACTTTCTGTGGAGGCTCAAGAGAGACGGTGAGTTGGACGTGAAGGGCAGGGTCTGTTGAGGAGAGCTGCGGTCCGCAGCGCTGTGTGCTCGGGAGCCGAGGAGGGTGGACGGACCAGAGGTATTTAATGAGTTTGAACACGGACCTGAGTCAGAGCTAATGTCAAAGCTTGGGGGAAACTGCTCAGCTGGAAGCTGTGTTCTGTGGCATGAAAGGCCAGGAACTGAGAAGCATGCCAAGAACAGAATACTGGATAGCTGATGCACAGAGGGTAAGCCTATGTTCCAGAGATGCTCTAGAGGGAAAGATTTTTTGTTGTTTGTTTTTTTCCCCTAAAAATTAATTAGCTCAGTAACATCTTCACCTTTTAATTGTCTTATGTTCTATAATTGCCACAGTTTGGTTTATAGATTTTTGTATTTATTTATTTATTTATTTATTTATTTATTTATTTATTTTGGAAAGAGTCTCTTGTAGCCCAGATTCTCCTCTAAGCCATTATGAAGCTAAGGCTGGCATTGACCTGTCAGTCCTCATTTCTAACTCTGAAGTGCTAGAATTACAAACCCGCACCATCATACCCTGGTTTATCTACAATTTTTATATAAAATATCTATGTCAATTGACACATATTTAAATGTAATTTTGTTGTTCTACTTTTACTTTTTGAGATAGGGTTTCTCTGTGTAGCCGTGGCTGCCCTGGAACTCACTCTGAGGAGAAGGCTGGCCTTGAACTCAGAGATCTGCCTGCCTCTGCCCCCTGAGTACTGGGATTAAAGGTGTGCGCCACCACACCCAGATGTTTTCCTACTTCTAAAAACATTTATTTTTATTTTATGTTTATGAGTGTTTCGTCCGCAAGTATGTATGTCCATCACATGAGTGTAGTATGTATGTCCATCACATGTGTGTAGTATGTATGTCCATCACATGTGTGTAGTATGTATGTCCATCACATGTGTGTAGTGCCCAAGGCAGCCAGAAGAGGGCACTGGATTCCCTGTACCTGTGGATTTAGGATTCAAATCTGTGTTCTCTGGAAGAGCAACTAGTGCTCTTAACTGATGAGCCATCTCTCCAACCCTCTACTTATTTGTTATACTACCTCTTTACTACGTGAACAATCAACTGTACTTTTTTGTAATCACAACATTCATACTTTGGTTAGTAGTTTAGCAGTCAATAGTGAAAATTCTGCTTAGAACTATATCTGAGCTCTATGCAGGAATGTACTGGTTTTCTTTGTTTGGCTTTGGGTCTTTTTTTTTTCTTTTTGTTTTTTGACTACTATGTAGTCACAGCTGGCTTGGTAAACTTGATAAACTAGGGTGGCCTTAGACTTACAGCTGTTCTCTTACCTCAACCTCCTGAGGGCTAGGATTATATGCAGGCTGTTAAATGCGTAAGAGTGGGATTTCTGCTGATAGAGTGGTGCATGTCTATCAACCCATTACTTCGGAGGCTGAGGCAGGAGGGTGAGTTCTGGTCTTGATGAGTGTGAAAACAGTCTGGGCAGTATAGTAAGATCCTCTTTCTGCAAAAAAATTTTTTTTTCCTCTTTGAGCACAGTTTAGACATGGGTGTTATAGATTCATTTTCTTACCTACCAAGTAAGTTTAGCAGTTGGCTTACTTTTTTGTGAAGGGTAAAGTAGTAAGCAGTTTAGTTTGTAGGTTGTATAGACTCTGTTGCATTTACTCAACTCTAACATTTTAGTGAGAAGCCACAGATAACAATAAACAAATGGGCATGGACATGTTCTAATAAAAATTTATTTGAAAGTAGGTAAATGGACCTAGCCCATCCACCACTACAGTTGACAGTCCTTAATGTAGAAGAGCTATTATAGCAAGCTCCTCTCTGTAGCATTGACATATAGTGTAAGTACTCCATGGTTGATGTAAGTTACCAAAGGATGCCACTGAGCAAGATACCAGGAAGAGATGCACACTGGCTTGTTGTGATCTGATACCTCAACCATCACACACACAGCAGGTGTGAAGAGTCTCAAGAGCTTGGCCTCTTTCAATTCTGGTACAGCCTCATGCTTCCCACTCTGGCTTTCTCTCCTCGACTTCTAAACACAACTCACTCATTATATCTATGTAGTGGATGTGGGACTTGTAACCTCATCCTCTTGTTCCTTAATTATTCAAACAGCACCTACAATTTTGCTTGCAAAAGAAATATATACAAGGCCCCAGCCTGAAATTGGCATGGGGTGTAGTCATGAGATAGAACAGTTTTCCTAAGAAGACTCCACTGCCTATCAGAATAAATGCTACCTCCAACTTGGAGAGAGAAGGATTCTGGAAGGAAGAAGCTGAGGGTAGGTTGGAAAACCCACTGTATAGGTTCTTCATATTTGTCTGTCTATTGGGGCGTTTTTATTATTTCAGTCCGGCTGGCCTCATACTGCTGTTTCCTGACAGATTTTCCCCTGGATTTCCAGTCCCTACTCAGCTCTCCACATTGGTTACTAACATCTGTTTGTTTTGGAGACTTGGTTTCCTGTACAACGCTCTCATCCAGCTCTTAAGTTCAGAACCAGTTACGTACATAACTTTGACCATGGAAAAGTGGTTCGTCAGATGATAGGTTTGTGGTTAGGAAGACCAGGACAAAATCTCTTGCCTGTGACTTATTTCTGCTATACCAGAGCATGTCTCTTGTTTTGCAGTAGCTTTTTCCAGCTGGTATTTAATTGGGTGTAAAATAAGACCTTTGACCTTTTGAAAGACTCTGGTCCCTGTGCTAGGCGATCCTCACACCGTAAACTGATCCTGAGTTGATTCCCGTATTTCCCTCTTTTATCTCGTCCTTCAAGCTGGAGTAGCAAAGACTCAGGCAGGGCCACACTGTCTCCTGTCACTAGAGCTGGATTCTCTGAAAGCTCCCTCAAGCTTTCCACATTAATGGCTAAACAAGAGCTCCAGGTTGTAGCAGTTACCAAGGCTCTGTCTCCCTCAGTTAGGAGAGTTTCTGCATCTTGCAAGTAGGTTACTAAGAAAATGCATGAATGTCTTTGCTGCTGGATCTGGTGATCACCAAAGTCATGTTTAGCTGGTACTTCTGACCAGGTTCACCGATTTCTTTTCCACCTATCACTCGGCGATGCAGTCAGTAAGCATGTGATAAGGTCGTCTTTAGTCAATACCCAGAAAGCCTCCCATACGAACTCTTGGAGGGAGAGGCAAAACAGTGCTCACTTATCTAGCAGTTAAACGTCTCAATAACTCCTAGTTATCGCACAGATACCAAGGCTCAAAGTGTACCACTGTGTAGTGTAAACAGCTTGTACTATTAGTGAGATATTGGACCAGGCAAGACACAGAGGTTACGACACCTGCTCATGTGCTGCTATGAACTGCTTGATTAGTATAAAAGGCTGAAAAATCTTTTCTTATTTTGTTTTGGAACATTTCTCTTTATAACCCATCATCATTGTTTGTTTGTTTATTTGTTTTTCCAAGACAGGGTTTCTTTGTGTAGCCCTGGCTGTCCTGGAACTCACTCTGTAGACTAGGCTGGCCTCAAACTCACAGAGATCCTCCTGCCTCTGCCTCCCAAGTACTGACTGGGACTAAAGGTGTGCACCACCATGGTCTGGCTCATTTGTTTTCTGTTTGATACCAGAGGCTCAGTTCTAACCCGGTGTTAGATCCCGTTGTTCATGGGTTTTGCAAAAATCTTTAAGCAATTTCTGAAATATACACTGAAATTTAGTTCCAAGGAAGTGGTGGGTTTGCAGTGAAGAGGTAATGGCAGAAACCCTAAACCTGTGATTTCTGTCTACTCTTAGACCAGTATATGGACCCTCCTATTTGGCAGTGGCTTTTCTCAATTGTTATTTAATTGGGTGTAGTTTCAAGCCAGCTTCACCTTGTGTGTTAGGAGACAGGTGGCATATTTAAACTAGAATAACCAGAAGAAAGCTCACTCATAAAGAGGCCATTATGTGCAAATAAAGTATAATGACACATGTATAAAAATACCATAATGAAACCCAATACTAACTGGAAAAAAGTTAAGGAAAGAAAAACAAAACAAAAAGAAAAACAAAAGAGTGGCTGGAGAGATGACTCAGTTGTTAAGAGCATGTACTGCTCTTCCAGAGAACCCAA